GTTAAAAGACACTATCAATATGTCTAGACAACCTACATCAACAAAACATTGCTTGAAAGAATGGAGAAGTTGGAAGCAACTATCATCGCAGAGCAGACTTCAGCTATAAAGAATATTAATGAAAGATTGGATCGATTAGAGACCATTTTAGATAAAATAGCTACTACAAGTCTCCAAAACGTTTCTCAAGACCAAATGCAATTCGATTATGAACAGATTGACTTGATCAAAAAGCCAGAAACTATTTATGTTACCGATATCGTTGACATACTAAAGAATAGGGATGACGGAATGTTTCTTTTAAATCCTCTTGGTCAGCCCGAAACAGCAGAAGGAATGTATCGTTTGCTAAGCAAGGATATTAACTCCATTTGCAATTCTGTCCTGAGGTCAAGCATTGATGAATATGTACTTTGGAAAACGTTATCTGGTGTTATCAAGAAGGAGTTGATATCAAGAGCCTTCAGGGAAGCTCATCTTTTAAACATTAAAGACATTGTCAATTGTTGTAAAGATAATTGGGCCATTTACTTCAAGTTACAGAGCTGCTGGTCAAACAAGGCTCCCTCAAAAATGAACACAAACCGTAAGAGACACCATTCGGCTTCTAACCAATAATGTAATGTAAGGCTGACAATATAGCCATTTTGAAAGTATTATTAACATGTCATAATTTCCAATGATAGTAAACGATTCTTGCTGTTACATAGCTGTATCGACAACAGTACCTTTCCCACAAGTTCCAGATAATGTTTTTTTCCTCAAATAAAGTTTTTTAGAACTGTGAAAGTGTTCATTTTAAAGTGACCTTTAGGTAGTTTTAAAGTGATATTAAGCTACATCTAAAGTGATTTTAAGGTGGATCTAAAGTGATATTAAAGTGGATTTAAAGTGATTTTAGGGTTGGCTTAGGGTGATATTAAGGTGTGAGCGGTATAGGTGACAATGAGTTGTATTAAAGTGATATTAGAGTGAGTAATATAGGTGGCTTTAAGTTATATTGAAGTGATTTTAACCATTCTTTAAGCGGGGAAAATCAGTCTAAAAATTGGTGAAAAACACTTTCTTTAGGTGTTTAAATAAGTGTTAAAATGATCACCCGAATTACACCTATAAACACTTGGATTCTCCCGTGGTGATAAATCTCTATGTTTTAGGCTCTCAACGAGCAACGCAGCTCGATTTTTTTTTTTTTTTTTTTTTTTGGTTTAAATACGAGGAACCGACCTATAATTTATTCTGTTTCATTTTACTAAATTTAAACAAAATGGAATAGCATCCTGCTCAAAATGCTTTAGATGAGGCTATTTACAACAGTCAGTATCAAACGTCTGAAGAGATCAAACTGTGGTGATCCACCTACTGTTGGTAGCAATCACACCATAAAACATTACGAAATCAAATCTCATTTCATGATCCCACACGTTATTACATCACAACACGAACTGATTTCTTATGCATAATATCATATCCAACTACAAGCACTATTTTAGTGCTGTGTAACTTATCCATCAAACTAAATTCACAATCCGATTTCTCTTAACATATATAAATATGCAAACTGATAGTTAGAATAGAACCCTCTCAATCTTTGAATCTACTTTTTACTCTTAATAAGACTTATAAGCAGTCTCAAAGTACTTTATTGTTTTTCTCTTTTTAAACTCTATTCTCAACTATCACACAAACGACATTTAAGGAAATGGGCTATCGAAATCAACTTTGTTTTAGTCGTTGATAAGAGTGAGAAAGGTGTACGTGTCATGCTTTGCTGTAAGCACGGAAATGCTTTTTAGAACTACAGTCAGTAGCCTTGAAGAAAGAAATAGAAATCGACCAAGCTGTAAGAATGAATGTCCCTTCCAATTCAGAATCAAGTTTTTGAAGCTTGAACAAGTTTGGGTAGTAGAACGACCTATTGAATCCAAGCAAGAACACTTGCATAACCATGTCTTATCCACGGAGAGCATTCAAGTAACCGCAGAGGGAAGAAAAGGAGTCATCGGTCAAAGCACTGTCAAGCCTGTAAAAACATTAATCCAAGCGAGTAACAGTGTTCCTAAAATACTTAAAACACTCGGAGGTCGTGATGGTCAATCATCCTTGTCTTATGATGATGTCAAAAACTGGAGAGCTGAAAACACCACGAAACTCAATACCAACTCGCTTGATAACGATGCCAGAAATCTGGTTTCCTATATTGGAAGTAAAGATTATTTGGTTTCGTACGATAAGGCTATGAGTGTCAGTGAAAGCAGGTGTTCATTGACATCCATTTTCTTTATGCATCAATGTACACTAGAGGAAGTAACTAGCCGAGGCGAGGTCTTTGTAATCGACGCCACCTTTAAGACCAACCATCTAGGTAATACGTTAATCTCCATTCAAAGCGTATCACACTTGGGTAGCAAGTCTCTCATGTCAACGCCGATTGCATATGCGTTCGTTGCAAATGAGAAGATTGAGACCTACGTTTGGTTTTTAAAGGCATTCAGACAAGCTATTTATTCCTGCTCCCGTGAAGACTTGAACCCTGTCTTTGTCACGGACAAGTGCTCGGCATTGATGAATGCACTTGAGCAGATTTTTTCCAGCAGTCCGACCATGCTTTGTACCTGGCATATGAGCCAGAATTTCAATAAGGGATTAAGCCATATCTTTCTGAAGGCTGAAGATATGCAAAAATGCATCGATCTCATTCGTAAGATGATTGTTTCTTACTCAGAAGAGGAGTTCAACACCACTTGCGAGAAGTACGGAATAATTGCTACCAATTCTTTGTTGTTACAAGACAACTCTTCGTATATGGCTGAAGAGTATCTTGAGAGTAATTGGTTGGTCTGTAAGGATAAGTGTGCTGGGTATCTCACTCGTATGTACTACAACTAAGCCGGTTGAGGGTACCCATAGTGCTCTTAAGCGCGAAACAATGTCAACCAGGTTAGACCTGCTTTCTGGGTTTGACGAGGTTGACCAATATGTGAAGCGTCAAGCTATCAGACAAAGCAAAGCTAGCAACAAAGAGGAGTATTATGTTCATTGTGCAATCCGAAACAACCAGCAACTTATAAACTTGATTGGTAAGATGTCATCAAAGGCTTTGTCAACTATCCACAAAGCCATATTGAAAGCATCCCTTATGTCCAAAGATATAAAGCTTACCGCTTGTGGCAGTTCTTGTTCTTGCAGCGACCGTCTCTGCTACGCTTTGCCTTGTAAACATGACATTGTCAAAATGGGTTACAGGGTTTTAAATGTCGAAGAAATTAACAGCTGTTGGTTGTTGAAAAATGTTCCCAGTGTCATTAGCAACAATGATATCCAACTGTCGAGTGTAGATGTTCCAAGCAGCAACAGTTTTCGTGCAAAAAGTATACCTCGATCAGTCTGGTATCAAGAATGAAGTAAGACAGTCGGATCAATTCGGTAGCATTTTGGCTGAAGCCGAAGCAAAATACCGCGAGTGCCTATCAGTCACGGAATCCAATGCACTTAGTGATATGTTGAAGAAGGCTTTGGAGGATCACTGAAAGTTTGTCGGTAAGTTCAGACGTATGGACGGTCCAATTGGACTACCCAAAGCAGATCACATATCAAAGGTTGGCCGTTCTGGAAAAGAAAAACGTTTTTCTCCTTCGCGTCAAATTAGTAGAGCTGTTAGCAAAGCCAAGAAAACCAAGGAGGGTAATGTATTCATTAGCTCAGAATAACTCAATTTCTTACCATTTATTAATGTTGTATTTATTGTCGCTGTTAAGCATGGTGTTAGTGGCAAGGACGATGTTATCATGAGGGACACAGTTGGTTTTTACATTCCCAACAGAGCCAAGCCATGTAAGAATCTTTTAAAACATTCAACATTAATTTTACTAATTTAAATATTTATACAGCCGAGAATACCGAGTATAAGGCTGGAGAACGCCTTCATCTTCCTAAGAGGGCAAAGATTTGTAAAGTATAAAATATAATGAAAACACATCTTCATAGTGTACTCATTAATCAATATATATATATATGTGTGTCAATAGCTGTCACGAACGAGAATTTCGAGATTCTCACTGAAATCTATGTTGACAAGGATCTTCCTCGTAACAGTTTTACAGAAATTGTGAATGTTGGTGATGATGGCCACTGCGGGTTTAGGGCTCTGTCTTAACAGGTCTTTGGAGACGAAGAGCGTTTTATGGAGGTGAAAGAGCTTATGAGAGATGTACTGCTCAATAATTATGAGCAGTACGAAATTTTTATTGATGAGCACTTTAAATTAACCGACAAGGTAACTTGTACCTGCAGTGTTCTGGAGAAAGTAGTTGGGAGTGAAAGACTGGTAGAACACGAACATGGACAGGATAAATGGCTTCGATCACCAGAATGTGCTCAATTAGCCGCAGACCCATTTCAAAGGCCTGTCGCAATTTATTCTTGTGCTATGTACGAAGGACACGGATTAACGTTTCTGCCACTCTTTCCAAATGAAAACGTGAGAATTCCTCCTGGTCGATTGTTTTACAAAATGTTGATGGGAACCCCTGGGTCACCTTTAACATGAAGAGGTCCATCAAGGTGGCCTGGCCTTGGGTCAGCATCTTACACCATAAAGCAATGGAACGCTTGGGTCACCAAGATGACAAGGTCAAGTCGTTCTGGAACAAACACTTGGCCTTCAAGAAATATATTCCGTCCGAACAAACAGGTAATATACATGTTTTTAGCTTACTTCTAAATCTAAACTAATCGCTTGCTATGTTACAAAATAGACAAAAATAAGGTCATGATAAATGAATCAAATTTTTTTAAAAGGCACATCTGAAAAAAGCAAGAATACAATATGCAATAATTGTATACTTTTTTTAAATGACACCTATCTTTTTCAGTTGTACGTTAAACGGTTTTGGGTATATCCAAGCTGTTACAAATATGGTGCTGCTTGCAACTATGTTGAAAATCATTTAATTAGTAAACTAAGAATATGCGTTCAGGAACAAACAGTGTTTAATTATTTATTGAGAATCAAATGAGGCAGAAGCAAACAAAGAACAGAAAAAACCTGATCTAACTTTCAGGATTTTAAAATCGAAATTTTGAGCTCCAAAGTCAACTTGAATCAGGAAACATAATTTGTGCATGATGTCTAACCTGGATTTGTTGATATCTTTGCAATTTCGGTGATTCTCAAGCAATTTTTTCATGTCTGAAGAGTCCACTCGATCAAACTCGAAATCCATACGGACACTATCCTGCTCCTTATTAAACTTCAACGGAGTCAAGGCTTCCAAAACGATTTCTCGGTTAAAATCTTTCTTAAACACTCCAGGAAAACGCTCAAACATCATTTAAAATATGCTCAAAGAAATTTCTAAACTTAAACCTATGAAGAGTATTCCACAAAGGCACAGTCTGCTGTCCACAAATGACCAGATATATCTCGTAAATCTTTGAGGTTTTCCAGAAGAGCCTTCCTCTCCAAAACAATCCACTTGGTTTTCCTCTCGTCTTTTACAACTTTATAGCTAGTTCGCTTTCTTACCTGTTTCATAAGGTTCCTTTCCTGAACGCACACAACAGACTTTAAGTTGGTCTATTTTTGTTGACGGCGGATGTAGAATGCAATGCTTCCACCTGTGTTGGGACGACCAGGTTTGGCACCTATGATAACAGTCTGGTGCTTAACATTCAGATGCTTCGTCAAAGCACATTTGGATTTGTTACTGGCAAGGCATTTCACATAAGTGAGCGCTTCTGTCATGACTGTGTTGACATCCTCAACGTTGACTTCTGTCGATGGCCGTTCATTGTTTGACTGGTTCAGTTTCGTGAACAATCCTTGAACCACTTGGTTTCTTCCTTTGAGATTTGATTTAATTTTACTGCGGATGAAAATCCGTTCCTTTTCGATAATCTTTTCGTGATTACTCATTTCTTGTAATTGTGAGATGTACGAGGGAAAAAAGCAAAATGACGGATATTATGAGCCGAAAAAATGGCGATTTATTCATCCAAGCCTACGCCTTTAAAAATGGGGGGAGGTGTTCTCTTGTACACCACCTGCCAGACAGGTGGTAAATAATTTTATGAGCCTAAAAAATGACGTTTTATTAATCCATGTCTACACATAAAATGGGCTATCTACCACCTACCGGACATCTATTGTCTGGTTATAGTCCGGCAGGTGTTATATAAAAGAAATTACTATATATAATATAGCTCAGGTGGTATATACATATTTTCTTTAAAAAGCGTTTATTGATGCCTCTAGAAAATAAACATTGGTAGAATTCTGGATAAAGTTTTGTGGAAGTTCAATAGAATTATCATGGTAATCTTCAGTTATTTTGGTGATAGAGATTATCAAATTTGTCTGTTTGACGATCAATTTCTAAAAAGGCATGATTTATCCCGATTTTGATTACTGGCATCTTTTTACTTTTGGACTTTCTGATAATTGACGTTGGCAGCTTTGATGGTTTTAAAAGGTTCAACGAGCTTTTCTTGAAAAAAAGAGAGCTAGCAAAATTGCTCTTGGTCGGTGTGGTAGTTGTTAGCCGTTGGGCGTTTTTTTTTCCTAGGGTCTGTCTGTCAGATGCTTTGGGTTCATTTATAGAGATTACAATTTTATTTTTTATCTAATTCTACACTGCCATACGAAATGAAGGTTTTACCATAACAATAGATGCTTTTTTTCTAGATGCATCTACGCCCCACCTCCACCACCTTTTTAAAACTATCCTCGTCAAATAAATAGATTTTACAAAAAAATTAGTAAAGCTGGTTGAACTGTTTTTAGAAAGCAGGTGACGTTTTTTAAAAATTACGGAAAAATATTTTTTAAGGCAATCTAACTTCCGATAACAACGCAATTTTCTTAATGTAGTGTGCGGAGGTGTTCCCTTGGAAGCCAACCTGGGTTTTGATGACGGTAAAACCCTTGGGGAATTGGGTTTTAATTAAAAGAACGTAACAAAAGATGGTAAGCTCAACCAGTTTTACGTAAATTAGAAGGGGCGTTACTTGAGCTTGTTACCAATTTTATACCCCCCACTTTTTTATGTGTGTACGCATAAGTGTTATGCGTATAAAATGTTTAAAATTAGGATCCACTAATTGTGTTTTTGGCCCACGCATCTTTTTCATAACTATCTGTATGAAGTTAAAGCATTCGTTTCTTACTTTAAAATGAATTTATTATTGATGTGGAATCGTACATCACACACCTGAAACACTAAATATAACAAAAAAAAAAGACACAAAAACTGACGCAGGTACAGTCATTTTTAAATTTCTAAAAATACAACTGCGATAGAGTGTTTAAACAGGAAATCCGCCAAGACTTTCGTTCATCAACAGCCAAAGTACACTTAATCATAGCCTAAGACGTGTTTTCGTGGCTATGTCTAAAAGCTGCGTAATAACAAACATTTTTGAGTGGCTCAGCATACACCGTTTGAGGTATACGATATACAACACTTTCTCTTATATACTACCTGCCTGAACGTATAAGTCATTCACTGTTGATATAAGTCATTTAAAATTATTTCTCATCCTCATAAACATCGTCGCCAAACGTTTGACTTTTGGGTTTGTGATCCTTTTTATATTCTATTGAATACGCTATTAACAAGTCAGACACTTTCAAAAGTTTCAGGTCAATATTTATTTGTTTATTTTTACATGGTTTAAGGCGCATAACGGACAATCACTAAAGCATGTGATCTCTTAGGCACAGCCAAAAAAGTATTGAATCCTAAGCTTTGACTATAAGGGGTTTCAGTTTTCACCCGCCGGACTGTTCGACTTTTTTTTTAACGATTCGGTTAATTAATTAAGAGCCAATAAAAAGTCTGCAAAATTTTAAAGAACTGAATCCCCAAAATAATTTTTTATTTTTATTTTTTTAAACGACTTTTTTTTAATAAATCCTAGCGAATAGAGTTGTTCGTGAGTTTGTATATTGATTATGAGTAATAGTAAACTTAAGGGCATTGTAACTATGACACATCAGCTGTCAATGTAAGTATGACACATCAAAACTGACTGTGGTGATGACACATTAGGAGTATTTTTTACACCAGGAAAAGTGGGTATATATAATACGTTATTACAATCAGTTGACATAACCATCGTAACCTTTTTTACTTATTAAACAAATGTCTACTTCCAACAACAACACCGAATCCCATGCCGCTTCTACTGGTGCTCCTGCAGCTATCACTTGGTACAATGACCATCATCTTACCACAATTGAGTTGAATCCCGACGGACTTTGTTCGATTGATGTGTTGATGAATTGGCTTACAGCGCCTTCCAACTTCAGTGTATGGAGAGGGGAAAGAGGCTCAAAGATTACGAAGCCAACCTTGCTCACTTCCATTTTGAAGGAATTCAAAAACTTGGGTATCACCACCCGTGATACTGCCGCAATTCGATCCAAGATCAACCGTATCATCAAGGCTTATAGAGTAGCCGAGACGTGGAGAAATCAAACAGGTCAAGGCCTCCTTAACAGTGCCTCAAACGATACGGAGTGTGCAGAACAGAAACAAACCATCTTAGTTAAACCATAATATAAACATGCATTAACTTCGATGACTTATAAAATGAATTTAAATTTTAGCAGTTTGCAAGAAGAAATACGAAGAGATTGCGCCCTTCTTCTTCGATACTGCTGCAAGTGAGGCTCGTCCGTTCAATGAAGATAAAAATTATGAAAATGTTAAAAACATTATGTTCAACAATAACACTAACGATGAAGACGAGCTTGCGCCAATTGAAATGGTGAATGATAATGATGGAGAAGCTGCTGTTTCTGACTTGGTTGTACCAAGTGATGGCTCCGTTGCCACCTCTGTTGACACCTCTGTTCCCCCCTCTATTGGCACCTCTACCACGTCTGATGGACCTACTGCCTCTGCTGATCCTAACAAAAGGAAAAGATCAGCTAGCAATTCAATTATTGACGCTGTTCTTGAGTCAAGCGATATAGCTGATGCTTTGTCTGAGAAGCGTCCAAGAACGCATGAACGTAAAGTTGATGTAAGAATTGCGAAGGACCTGGCTGACCAACAATGGCGCCAACAAATGTAAGAGAGGGACGAGGCCCGCCTCATTGCCAAGGAGGAAGCTGATAGGGCTCAAAAGCCCATGAACGTAGACAGGCTGCAATGGCAAATCTTGGTCTTCTTATTACTCATAAGTTGATAACGAAGGAGGAGTACTTCGCTGAAGTAAACAAATTGGATTAGCTACTTTTTTTTTATAAACATTTTCTTTTTTTCATAAATATATAGTTGCATTTCTTTTTTAGTGGATTCGGATCGGTTTACGAAAGTGACATTTGATGACACATAATTAGTTGGGGGTACACAAATCAAGGTGCAAGTATATATATGCTATGTATTGTCTATTAGTGAACAAGCATGTTAAAGATGATTTACGACGATCTTCGGGAGCAACAAGGAAATTTTTGAAGCAAGATTTTATGTAAATCACCGTATGAAGCTTAGCCCTACCAATTTTTCCGTGATGTTATGTACCAATGGATAACTTTGGGTGTCAGTGAGAGCAAGTATAGAGTTCAAATCACGCACATCATTAACTAATATAATTTTGTCAAAATTGAAAACGCCATCTTTGCGGTATTTGACAAAATATTACAACGGAAACGTATTGTGATAAAAGTATATTTTTATTAGGGGTAAAAATAGATTAAAAGAACTCTGCTGCTATGAAATAATTGATCCTTTTTATATTGCACAGCTCTCCTGAGTTTTAATGATGAGTCAACCTTTCTGGTTTTGGAATAGACCTATACTTTCTTTCCCGCCTTGGATTAAATGGATACTACTCGTTAGAATTGTTTCCAGTTAACGATGTCCCATATCAGTGGATCGGGAGCATGAGTATTTTAATAAATCTTTAGTATCACGAGACACTTATTTATCTGATCATGTAACGGTTACTGTAAAAGATGCATACTTGTTTTTCATGTGTAATTGGCAATCGAACATAATAGTTGATCATTTATTCATTATCTTTGTGATGAATAAATTACGATCCCAGATATAAAATGTCTAATCGAAATTTGTATATTTGGTTGTAGAAGATAGGTATCCATTAATTCATACTCTATTTCTTTACACTCTTTATCAGCAGTATAATTATATCAATATATAAGTAAATGAACCATTTATATTAATACCTGTTCCATTCTCTCTCTGGGTAGCTAATCCATTGAGAGAACTATTAATATTAAGTTTCTCTTTCTTATAATTCTTGATTTGATCTGAGAAGTTTCTCTTCCTGATCGGTGATATCGTAACTCAGTGGTATAGCAGTCTGTATCCAACTGTCATTCGTATATCGTATTTAAGCCAATCCTGCAATCTTTAATATAGAAGTATGTACTCGAAGTAGGAGAAGTTGTATAACAGTATACAAGCATATGATGATATGCAACATCAAAGGTTGTGTTAATTTCATAGTTTATTTATTTAAACAATTTGCTTAATAATTCTTAAGTGAATCGTACCCAAATACGACAATCTGCATTCTTTCGACCGTCAACAATCCATGGTGAATTAAAATCTGAATGTGAAGTGGCCACTGCAATGACACCTTCATCCAACCATGTAGTGATATGTTTACGAACAGGTGTCTCAAAAGCATATGGTAACGGATATTGCTTCTTAAAAGCAATGCATCCTGGCTTGATATCTAAATGTATAATAGCACCTGGTAATTATAGTTTGTATTTTTAATATCAATATCAGTATTTGCAAGCAACAATGGGTTTAACATAGATGTCATAGTATCTCTTTCTACAGGAGTTCCAAATGGACTGTTATTAGGCATAGAGATAGGATCAGCCGGAGCTGGTGGAAAGGGGTTACTTTCTTGGATTTCGAAATGTGATATTGTTAATCCCGTAATACCTAGTTGTAATTTATGAAATAAATCCATACCAATCAAAGCTGGAACATTCTCATTATTTTTGGATGTAAAAAAGTCAAATATTTCGAATTTATGGAAGATAGATTTATTTTTGAAAAAAAAATTTAAATCTTGTCGTTCCTAATCTTGCACTCACGGCATCAGGATGACCAAGTTGGACTAAACCAGAAGAGGGAGTAACCTGAATTTGATCTCCCAGGAGAGAAGCAAAAGAAGGAGGATTTATGGAGAACGTGACGCCAGTATATATCAAAGCATAGGTTTTGACATGTTCTATAATAATGGAAATGATGATCAAGTTAAATTTATTGTCAGGAAACCGACTGAATTCTGGATTTAACTTACATTGTTGTGCCTGACGGGCTACCATATCGGCATCCATAAACTCCGCATCACCATCTGATACGGAAGTATCATCGTGGTCGGTGGGAGCAGTGGCAGTAGTAGCAAAATCGTGACAGAAAGCAGTATCCTCTCGATCACTTGTAATAGGTGCAGTACGACGGGTAGTAGTTAAAGGACGACGAGAAGCCGGGTGACGAGAAACAGGAAAACGACTAGTAGTTGTACACAGAGCAGGCGTAGCAGCAGCAGCTGTACCTCGCAAACTAAGCGCACCCATGTACATATTTTCTTGGATGTTAGGTCCACCACGTGACGTATGACACACATGTTCACGTGTCCAGTTCTCAGCTTTACACTTGAAGCATTGGTTACAGCTTCGAAGAGTTGGCTCACCGGGCATGTGGTGATCCACCTACTGTTGTTACTAATCACACCATAAAACAATATTAAAATTAAATCTCATTTGATTACCCCATACATTATTACATCACAACACGAACTAATCTCTTATACATTATATCATATCCAACTACATGCACTATTTTAGTGCTGTGTAACTTATACATCAAACTAAATTCATAATCCGATTTCTCTTAACATATATAAATATGCAAACTGATAGTTAGAATAGAACCCTCTCAATCTTTGAATCTACTTTTACTCTGAATAAAACTTATAAGCAGTCTCAAAGTATTTTATTGTTTTTATTTATCTATCTCTATCCTCAACTATCACAGGGCAGCAGCAGCGTTACAATCTTCAGTGTTGTGAGTCGTTACTCGATGGAAACTACAATATTTACTGGATGGAACCTTGGCCTTACGTTCTGTAGGAGCTACATATGGACTTGACGAAGACTCGCCGTTGGAAGAAGTGGATGACAAAGGTACCGCACTAGCACGAGAAGTAGCATGCTTGGATAGTCTGGATGACTTATGATAGACGTTATTTTGATCTAAATCCGATGACGTACGTTTAGGAGCTCTAGGAGCACACTCCAATGCACGAGCTAAACTGGAAAGAATATCTACATCAGATCGTTTATACTCAGAAAGAGATACAGAGGCGATCGTAACTTGTTCAGCCAAATTGTCAGGCAAAGCTGCTAAGAACTTTTCAGCCAAAACTGAATCAGGTAAAATCTGATCAACTGCACGATGACGCAAATTATTGAACCGATCAATAAAATCATCCAAAGTCTCCCCACGTGACATTGTAATATTGTTCAATTCACGTGCACTGTTGTTTCTTTCCTCTCGAGCATTACGTCCATAACGCTCGTGAAAGGCAACAACAAACTCATTCCAAGTAGGATCAACCTGTTTAACTTTTCTAAACGTTGTCAAGTAATCTTCAAACCAACCACAAGCGGGATCGCTCAATTGTGGAGGCATAATACGTAAGTAATTAGCATCAAAGTCAATACATCGGTGAAATTACGGAGGCATGTCCTAATATCAATAAAAACTGGAGTTCCCTCAAAGTGGTTGGGTCCTTCCCAGCAAAACTTAGGTAAGATTCTTGGGACTACTGACGAATTTTTAGACGCTAAGATAGTATCACCAGCAGTAGCTTTCATCATGGCAAGGCTTTGCTTAAATAGTTCTATATCTTCCAAGCGACGAGCCAAATAATTACGTATACTTTTCAACAAGGTATGGCTCTCAGGGGCAGGTGCAATATACATCGTCAACGAATGCATCTCATCTTGGGCTAAAGTAAGTGCAGATCTCATATCCAGTTGCAGAAGCTGACTGTACGATAGGGTGAGCTCTGTTATTGTTTACACTAAGCGCGTTCGTAACCTCACGATTATCATACGAGTAATTGGGTCCGTTGAGCGATAATTCAATATCCTTCATGGATTGCAGTCCATGAAGTGAATCTTGTTCTTGAACATGAACTTGAGAAGTCCCCTCAGTGGTAGTGGTCATATTATCAGGAATCAAGGTTTCGAGTACAGTAGTAATAGGATTGTTATTTAGAGCCTCGATCGGGAGAGCAGGAGTAATATTATTCACATTGTTGGTAACCGCCTGAGCATAAGTAGGAACAGTAGTAGCAAAAGATGAGGCAGTACCATTAGCAGGGGTAGTGCCATGAGCATCCATACCAGCAGAAGTAGCACGAGGAGAAGTTTGAATATTCTTGGGGGGATTTGTCAGAATCAGAAGTAGAAGGAAAAACATTTTCCGTAGAAAAAAAGTAGAGTTGATACAGTAACAGCTTGGTTAAAAAAAATGATAAATCGATAATAATTTAAGAAACATGACAAGTAAGATTAACCAGATTGCAAAAAGTGACTGAACTTTTATTGACATAAAATTTAGGGGTCCTTTATATACACGAGGCTATTCCAAAAAAACTCCGTTTCCGTAAAAATGTTGACCTTCGCTGCGCTGCGGTAAATTTTTGACCTGCATTATGGTTCGTGTGGTGATCCACCTACTGTTGTTACTAATCACACCATAAAACAATATTAAAATTAAATCTCATTTCATCACAACACGAAGTAATCTCTTATGCATTATATCATATCCAACTACAAGCACTATTTTAGTGCTGTGTAACTAATCCATCAAACTAAATTCATAATTCGATTATTTTTAACATATATAAATATGCAAACTGATAGTTAGAATAGAACCCTCTCAATTTTTTAATCTACTTTTACTCTTAGTAAAACTTATAACCAGTCTCAAAGTATTTTATTGTTTCTCTTTAATTATCTCTATCCTCAACTATCCCAGTTCGGTACGCTGCGCTTTGACGAAGGCTCGTGCTGCTTCAGGCCTGTTTTTGAAATAAAAACCTTAACATATATTAATTAGCTATGAAGCCCACACACCATTATAGCTTAGGATACACTGCCTATTATCAGTTTGACACTGGAAAAAACTTTGATGTTTCTCAATACATGTTTAAATATTTGAAAAAAAACGATATCCCTAGACCCAGGCTAGAAAGTTGATCTACGCAAATTTATTAACTGTTTACATATCTGATTAACTATTCTATGCAAAATTTTTTTGCTTCATAATGAAAGACTTGATAATCCAAAATATTAATTTAAAGGCGACCCCTTCATCGACCTAAAACAAACAATTTTTCAGTTCTTCTCGAGTAATGACATATTGTTTGTGAAAAAGTGTTCATAGACTTTTCTCTAACCTCTATAGTATAATGCTTAATGCTATTAGTTGTCAAATTAGGGCGAAGGGTAATCTCTACCCCGAAATCCCAATATTAACATTTTTTTTTGCAATGACTTTTTCCGTAAAAGTCACTATTTATATTATGACTTTCTCCAATATAATCAATTTTTAAATAAGCTCTTTTTTTAGTTTAATGTTTTCTGTTGAGTCGTATTCTTAGGAGGACGGGGTTTTCCAACCTCCAATTGCGTATCTCTACTCAAAAATATTACGCAGTGAAAAAAAATCACGCTTTAAAATCATAGCGTTTTAAAAAAAATCACGCTGTAAAAACAAATTATGCTCTAAGATATAATGCTATAAAAAAAAAAAAAAAATTATTGTTCTTCAGAATTTAGCAATTTAATGCTAAATACTATTAACCATATACTTGGGGGGAGGGGTTCCCCCTCCCCTCTTGCGGGGGAAACCCCCGCAACCCCATAAAAAATCCTAACTTTTGTGACTGAAAATTAGCTCGCCTTGTGACTGCGTAATTACGATTCCAATAATTTTAATATAGTAATATTGAATTCAACCTCCTTCTTTGACAGGGCTAGAGGACAGGCAAGATTATGACTAACACGGCTTATCTCAAAAGTACCTAATCCAAGGAGAATCATATAATAGTGGTCCACGTTTCCGTAATGGGTTTGTAATGTCACTCGACGCGTACCTTTAAAAGGTATCCAAAAATATATTCAGAAATTTCTCGCGCTTATACTTTTAAACCTCGCTTGTCATTGGCCTCCGATAATCTGATTAGTACAACATATTAATAATGTCATTTTGTAATAATAGTTTAATAAATATAAACTTTTCTACCTGTTGTGCTAAAACCACATAATAAACGCTACTGTCTACAAAAGGAAAGCTATTTCACGGATAAAAGACCGGGAATAAGTAGCCCGGCTTCATGAAAATTTCTTCATTACAACACAAATCTAGGATCCGACCAATGAGAGATCAGGAATTTAAGGAACAATACTAAATCAAAGACAGCTATCTTACGATCTTTGTTTAGCATGGAAAACAAAATTAAAAAAAAAACCAAAAGTGATACTGTTAGAACTTGGATACCAAATTATTATGGACGAAAAAATTATAGTTATAAACGTATAAAAAATGTATTGATGGTCTATGAGAAAAAATTATGGATATTTATATAAAGAACTGGGATAGTTCTAGGAAAAATATTAAGCACCTTATTGGATCATGATGTAATAATCTGGTGATAGTAAATAATCAACATGTCTTTGAATTTAGCCCTTCCATACTGAGTATATAAATATTAGTCAGAGGGATCAACAGTTATAACATCAAATGACAAGAGTAATATTTGTGCTCAAGATCTTTTAATATTATATAGTCCAGGCCCATTCGATTATATTGCTTTTTGGAAAATAAATATTTACTCGCCACAGGATTGTACCCTGTGTACAGACTTCAACCGTAGGATTAGAACAAGCGGGGGTAATGTGTGTGTAATATCGTAGATATCAAAATGGTCTTTAAAAATAAGCAAAGTAAAGATAACCTTTTATTAAGAGTTGAATGAGCTCGTGTTTATACTTTTACGAAGCTGTGTCAAAACTAACAGTAGAACCAATTGGGACTTACTATTCAATCGTTTATCCATTTGAATTGAATAAATGTTTATCCATGTATTCTTATTCGTTCATAACAATCTTTCCATGATTACAATCTCTAGTCTGTCTACTGAGATCTAATATTGGATTTCTATTGTTTCTATGATTCAATACATCTGTGATATAACAGTGTGATTCATGATTAGCAAGTAACTTTATTGTTACATCTATGATATCCTCAACAATCTTCCATAATCCAAATGAATGGTCCATCATACGAAACTGCGATTGATCTGAGCTGTCACATATACAAACCACAATATTTTCTATCTTCTATAAAAATCAGGCCAAATCCACCCATCTAGTTAATTTTTAATCAATTTTTTTACAAATAAAACGACAAGACTTATAATTGTATTCCTTTTGTTTTTTAACTATTTTTTTCTGTAAAGCTATTATCTTAAAATCTAGATTTACTACACTTATATTTAGCATGATAAATATCGTGCTAGTTTCTTAAGTAAATTGCAGATATTTAATATGGAAGAATAAAATAAGTGTTTATGAAATTAAAATAATGGATAAAATATGCTGTGTAGATCACGTAATCATGAATATAAAAGGCTCGATCGCAGCACATCTGAAAATTAATCATGTCTTATATTGTAATGATTTTTTGAAGAATTTGGATTCGCGTCATAAGAAATTCTTGAAGAAACAAGGAGAAAAAACAGACTTACCAGTGCTGTAAAGGATCCCAACCCTGACGAGGAAGATAAATCTAAGCTTCCTGAATGGGCAGTGGTTAAAGCCTCTTTTAAAAAACAATTAGTAATAAAGTATGCCCTTTTTCTTTTTTTTTTGGTTTTGATATATATGTATTGGTGTTATACTTTTGTTTATTCTGTAATTTTTTTGGGACGTTTATAACGATGTCTGTGTTATCAAATATGTTCATCAAGATATCAATTGGAGAGAATTTTTGCAACTGGTAAAATGCAAAATTCGGATTCATCTTCCAACGTATTTTGACACACTTCAGTGTTGATGGATTCGTATGTGGTAAGGGCTATTTGCTGTAGCTTATAAAAGCGGACAAAAGCAAAGGTAAACATGAAATCTTGCAATTTGTCGTCGTCAGTCTCTAATGCATTGGTATGTCGGAAAAATACTGTATTTGAGCTGGTCAAAGTCAATTGTCAAAATACGCTCTAATGAAGCTCCCTCTGGCTGAGGAAGACTCATTGAGTTGTGTTTGTTACCTAGTATCACATTGACCTGAATTTGTTGATTTTGTTTTGAATTCTATCGGATGGTTGACCAAAAGAGTAATTGCTGGATGTTAAAGCCAAAATCAAAGTCAACAAAGTACGCGCGATAGTGGTTGATCAAATGATGGTGTTCAATCCGGTCATTTTAGCTTGATGTATACTGAATTTTAAGGATTTGATCGTTGATACAGGCAAAGGTTCATACCCAGTTGCGTCTTTGTAAATGCTGGTATTGACGTTTTCGGAAAAAGAAATGAATTCAGGAAAATTGAAATCATTGCTTGATTCCTCAATTTCACCTTTTAAAATATTATCGCTGTAATACTTTTGAGTACCATGAATGTCAGTTCCAATAATAGATTCTTGATTTTGGTGTCTAAATCATCCCCTTTATCCAAAGTTGGAAACGATTTCACCATATCCGCGTAATGAACTGATTTCAAAAAAGATTTCATGACCGTTCTTTCAAAGAGAGGTTTCGAATTGGTCTTGATATTTTTGAGCTCCTTGTTACATCGTTCGTAAAAAAATGCTGAATGCGACGGGAGAGGACCAAACAGAAAAGCATCATTCTTGATATGTAAATGCATATGGATGTTAGGATACAATCTTTCTTTGCCGTAAATAATTGTAAATCCTTTGCAAAACTCCCGAAGAAGAACGTGGGCTGCATTCAAATCCACCAGAGAAACACTTGTTGACGACAGTAGCTGCAACGCTTTTACATACAGCATCCAGTTGTCATACTTAACTGAAGATAAAATACCTTTAAGAAGTACAGGAGACAACCAGACACTGAATACCAGCCATTCCGAACCTTTCATATGACCGAAGCCATCACCAACTAGCATCTTACGGGCAATAGATCCATGATCGTATCCAAAAGGAAGAATAATTCTTCCGCACAAAGAAGACATACGCTCACGGTCGGCCAGTACAATGTCCTTATCCGGAATCCACATGTTTACCATGATTCTTTTACACGTACCGAGGTACAGATTGTGCATTGGATCAATCACTGTAAAATCGACAGGATTGAAATACTCCAGCAAGTGCAATTGTGACCAGCGGGTTCCATGTTTTTGCACCAACGCAGTTTTTGAGCAGTGTTTGGTGCTGCTTTCCATTCCAATGCATGAGTCAAGTTGCTGGCCATTCCAATGCATGAGTCAAGTTGCTGGCTTTTGTTCTTGGTGTCCAAGTTTCATCTTCCCATCCGGAATAGTCACGAGGCGCAGCACCTTCGACCACCGCAGAAAATTGGCGCTCACATTTTCTGCATGCACAGATGCCATTGTACAACGCAAATCCACAAAGCTTAGCCGCAGCTGGTAAATCTGCTACTACAAGCGTCAATGCAGCTTTTACCGTAATCTTTGAACGATTTGGCAGCATCATTTCAACCCCATTCATCAAATCCTTGAGCTCCTCAACAAGGGGAGCGAGATAATTGTTTATCTCGTCCAATTTACTCTCACGAGGACCAGGCATAAGACCAGAGAGAATAACAAAGTCTTTGCTATCCCTCATCTCCTTTGGCAAATTCAAAATGGTCAGGTAAATAGCGCCAGTTGAATGGACACTATATGTATAGTTTTGATACCAATCAACACCGATCGAAAGCATCAAATTGTTGTCGGATTGATCAACAAAGGGGACCTCATCGTTCTCATCAATCTTGAAATTCTTCCATACCTCACCATCGTATACATCATACAAGTTTTTGTCATCGTTTAATCCTCTTGTTTTCCAAGCCTTAACCATGGCAGCAAAATTATCACGCAAATAAAACTTGCGTAAAGTGCTGACGATTGAATTGTACATGTAAATAGCTGCAGGTGAATAAACATTCTTTTTGCTGACTGTATACAATGGTTGATCACACCTTTCGGTTACTTGGTTGTACATATTGATTTTGGTGGCAAATCTACAATTGGGGCGAGAAATACGTTCATTTTGGGTTTGATCAATTGAATAAAGAGTATGACACTTTAAACAATCGACGTACTGAGTAACTCCAGAAAAAAAAAGTTCGTCGACGGAACATCTTTTTTCGAACGTGGCCTTCGTTCTGGGAAATCTAAATTTCATCTCGGTCAACTCAAGAGCGACGTTCAAAAATCCCATAATCAATTCAAGCATTTCATTTGTTATCAAAAAACGAGAATTCAAAGTAAGAACCATTAAAACAAAAACAAAAGCAAGAGGTTCAGAGGGGAAAATATTGAGATCTCCGTATTGATTGGGATAGGCCTCTGCAAAAATAGAGTTAGATTAATGACACATCATTTTTTTTAATTGTTATCATTTTATTAAGTACCTTCTTCTTCTTCTTCTTCTTTTCTTCTTCTTCTTCTTCTTCGGACTGACTCTCATCACCCTGTACAATTTCTTCAATGTACTCTGGTTGCTCTGGGGTTTTTTTTTAAAAAAAATCAGATTATGCAAAATCGTATCAGAAAATAACATTTGTTTTACCGTCTTCAATCATTATCTCATCATCATTAGATGCAGAATTATTCATATCAGTATCAATTGAAATAGTTTGGCGAGTGGGGATATTGTAAACAACTTCGAAAAAATTAATATTTTATCCATGCTTTATAATAGAAACAATATTACGTTTACGGTCGCCCATTTCTTTTTTGTATTCCTGGCGTTTCTGCTTAAAATCAATGCGACTATCTCTCTCGTGATTATATCTTGTCTTTCTGCTGACAAAGGTGTATTTTAAGCCACGCGTTGTGCATTTCTCACAAAAACAAGCTACACGGTCTGAATCAGTCAATGCCATTTAAATTTTAAGGGATTATTTATAAAAAGATGAAAAAGGAAAAAAATAAATGTGGTCGGGCTGGAGATCTTTTACTGATCTAATCTGCGGCATGTTAATTTTAATCTAACATAATGATGTCGTGATTGGCAATTTCATGTACATATTTTTGTATCATGAAATCGCAATCTTTGACTAGATCATCCAAATTTTTGTTTATTTTCAAATAAAACGGAAAGAGAGGGGGATAAATAATGTCATGCCCTACATGACATTTCGCGGCCTCAAAGTGCCCAAGTCGATTACCATCCAGTAACATAAATTTGATCACCAGAGGTTTGATCAAACGTTTCTTAGAAAAAAGGGGGACCAAGCTGTATGAATTACATACATTCTCACTGTCTACTAAAACGAAGCTTTCATCATATGTATCGGCACAGACTTGGAGACAGCCTGGCGAAGTAAAGAAATACTCAATAGGTGCCGTGTTTTCTTCACCCTCACGCCCAAATCGTACTCTTTTCTCTAAATCGTAAAACTGGTCGTCCCCTTTTTTCTCGACCATAATACCCATTTGCTTATAAAGTCCCCTGTATTTTTCATCCTCTAAAGTTGCCATCATCTCTTTCTTGATTCGACAATAATTATCTTCAGACCCGTAAATTATGGTCGCTACAGCTCTAAATCCACAAAATCCATCCGTCTTGATATCTTGAAATTGGAAATCTGTCATTTTCCAAGGACATGGATCTTTTTTTTAAACGCAAGCGGGTCAAAAAAACGTATGTGGTTATGCGCTGTTTTGGCTGGCTGAAGTACCCATGCATGACTGTGGACATAGTAACGATAAGTTACCTTAAACTTGCACTTATACTTTTTACAAGTTGAACAGTGTTCTAGTCTGCGACTGTTTCTAAATGAATGACTTAATGCATGTGGGAAATTGTCTTTATCTAAGTCGCGTTTCAATGTTTCAATTACTTAACTCCTGTCTTCCTTAAGATTGTGTACGAAAGCTGCCGGGGTGTATAACAAAGTTCTTCGGTTTCATTCATTGTTAGTTTGGGAATCAGGTGATAAAGTAAGCTGTAAAAAACCCAAAAAAAAAATCATCCCATAAAAGGACGGGCATAACCTGATTACATCACCAACTTTTTTTTCACGTTACACCTAAACCATAAATAGAAAAATCTTACGTCAAAAAATAAAAACGTTTCACCATACACTTCGTATAATTTGGTATTATATCAACAGTGCTTACCTCTCTCAACCTAAATATTTGATGTAAAACTTAGATAAAAAATCTGTTGAACCCAGGAAATGCAACAACGCGTTATTATTTGGCCTGATTATGTTTTTTCATCAATATTTTTTTGTATACTTTTTCTTGGTTTTATTTCATACAATATATTAATTGTATAAAAACATAGAAATTTTGCTGTTATAGTGTAAAATAAAAAAATTCAACCCAAAATTAAAGCACAATACTGGAATCAGTTGCGTCTTTCTTTAAAAAATGCTTGCTAACATGCATCAGTCTAGTCAATAATAAACGATATTACTACAAAGAATCGCACTAGGCTATATACAGATAAGATGTACTGACCAATCTCAGGCAGCACGAAGTTCATATTAGGATACCGTTTGCCGGTCAAATGTAAGAAATGGGTGCTGTTTCAATAATATTTATACTTTTGATATAAAATGCAACAAAAATCAATAATTTTTTGATTAAGTAAAGGTAATTATTATTTTTAAATCTGAATATAACGCAAATCCAATTCTGTCCTTGTAAAAACTAAGGTATTTTCACGCTTTTTCTTTTCTTTTACCCTTATTTTTTTATCCTTATTTTTTTTTAACTTTTTTTTTTTACTTTTCTTTTTTCTTTTTTTTTTTCTTTTTTTCGCTCAGATATAATCGCATGCTATACAAACATGTTCTTTGACACTGTAACAGATATATTCTGGGGGTTCTTTCTATAAAATAGACACTCCAAGATATTTATAAAAAAGGGGGATTCTGCTTATAATTAAGAATTTTTTGCTAGTAATAAATTCAATCTTCGTTTTGGCATTTTTTTTGTGTGAAATCAACGCCATCTTTAATGTCTAATAAATCAACGAAAAATGTAGCAAATGAATTTTTTTTTATTTCTATACCTTTTTTTTAAATCTACAACGTGTTAAAGTTTGAACTATGGTTATTAAGTAGGATCGCTAGTTTTTTATTTTCTAATTTCTCGGTATTTTCGGACACAGGATATGTCCAGAATCCTGTCTTTGGGCTACATACATAATACGCGGTACTGTGATGTGTACGTGACCAAAAGAAGTAACGTTACCAGCAACATAATTAACACTAAAACGTATCATTTTATCAGTCTTGTAATAGGTTAAGTAGTGTATGTAAGATTCAACTCTCAGTGGTTAATCAGTAAGTAAGTAAGCAACTACTTGAAATTATAAAATAGAAGATAATATTTACTTGATATAAAGCTAGGAGCTATTTATACTAGTTTGGGGAATATATAGAATGTGATAATAATGAATATGGTGATAATGTAAGGTTGATATGTATGGTGATAATATAATAAAAGTATGGTGATAGATATAAAGACTGATTGTGATAAATATAAGTAATCAGGTTATTGAATGTAGAAGTAGTGTTGTGATATTTTTAATAAAGTGGTGTTACTTCTTTGGCCGTTTTCTATTGGCATTGGTTATCTTGGGTACAAACTTCTTTTTTAGAAGTTTAGCTTTCTTTAATCGTAATTCGATCTCCAGAGGCATTTGAACATCCATGGTAGAGTCTGGGTCCGGTGCAAGAGTCCGGGTCGGAATGTGGCTTAGAGAAGCATCAGAACCATCGATAATTGTGGGCTTGACATTTCTGTAAGTTTCAAGGTATATTATAATTCAACTCTCAGTGGTTAATTATAAAGAATAGTCAAAGAAGTATTTAATGTCAAAATAAAGATAATGATTTATTAATGATACAAGTTGGTTATTTATACTTGAGATAATTGATAGTGTGATAATAAATATAGTAATTGTATGAACAGGTGATGTCTTGATAAGTTGAGCACCTGTTTAATATATATGATGAAGAGATAGTAATCCCGAGTGGTATGATATTCATTTAATAAAAGTGGTGTTATTATGGTTTCCGCTTCTTTGACCTTGTATTGTTTTTAGTAAGTGGTACGAACTTCCTCTTCTGATATTTGGTCTTCTTTAGCCTGATTTCGAGTTCTACCGGAATATCCATGTCGATGTCCGTGTCTACCGGAATGGTGCGGGTCGGACTGCTTGGTACTTTTATCGTAGGCATCTTTACCATTCTGGTACTGACATTTCTATCAGTCTTGTAATAGGTTATAGTGGGTTAAGATTCAACTCTCAGTGGTTAATCAGTTAATAAGTAGGTAAGTACTTAAATATATAAAATAGAAGATAATGTTTATTTGATACAAAGCTAGGAGCTATTTATACTAGTTTGGGGAATATATAGAATGTGATAATAATGTGATAATGTAATGCTGATATGTATGGTGATAATATAATAAAAGTATGGTGATAGATATAAAGATTGATTGTGATAAATATAAGTAATCAGGTTATTGAATGTAGAAGTAGTGTTGTGATATTTATAATAAAGTGGTGTTACTTCTTTGGCCGTTTTCTACTGGCATTGGTTATCTTGGGTACAAACTTCCTTTTTAGAAGTTTAGCTTTCTTTAACCGTAATTCGATCTCCAGAGGCATTTCAACATCCATGGTAGAGTCCGGGTCGGGTAGAAGAGTCCGGGTCGGAATGTGGCTTAGAAAAGCATCAGAACCATCGACAATTGTGGGCTTGACATTTCAACAAGCAGCACCATGGCGCAGCAGGAAGCGCGCAGGGCTCATAACCCTGAGGTCGTCTGATCGAAACGGACTGGTGCTACTTTTTTTGCTTTTGAATTACTAAATTTTTGTCTCAGGGTCTGATCTGGTATTAAGTGATATATTGTCGTGACTTAGGTCACACACATATGTTGATATTTAAAATAGGCTTTTATCTCAATCATAATAAAATTATCTTTGATTCTCCAAATAATACTTTTATATATTTGGCTGTTACATACGAAAAGTCCCACGAAAATATGTATAGAAAAGTAAAGTAGTAGATAAAAGACGATCTTTATTATTTTGTGTGATTAAAAAATGTATAACACATATTGAAATTTTGGTGTAATTTGGTGTTAACGCCATTTCGGTGTAAAAATCCGCTCCCAGGGGCAGTCTGATGTTAACACCAAATAGTTTTAACACCTAATCACATTTCATTACACCAAGCTTGCTCGTGTTAACACCTAAATCAATGTTATTACATTTGAATTATGTTAACACGTATATACACCTAATCCCACCTTAATGGTGTAAACATCAACTGGATGTAAATTGGTGTAAATTAATGATGCTTTTAAAACCTTATTATATTTATTACAAAAATTGGATAACTAAAAATATGATCTTTATTTAAGGTGTCATTTGATAATGATATTCATCTATGATCTTCTTTGCTTCAGCGTTTTGCCTACGTAATTAAATATCTAGGTTAGTACAGGAAGACTTTTATTTCTTTCATGTTGCTCTTTACCTTTCTGTTCGGAAATTCATGGACATTTGTGTCCCTTTGGGCTGCAAAATAAATTCGCATGGCCAAAGACAAGCACAATACTTAAGGAAACCAAACCTTGGAACGATTTCCACTACTTCCTATTGCTTTGATTTGAGCATTGTCCATTGCTCAGTGACATTCAAGGATCCCCATCCTCTGTACTTACCCATGTGATTTTGGGAAGCGAAAACACGACAAACAGAAAGGGCAGAACGATTCAAATTCTCCATCATAGCTTCCTTGTCAGTTTCAGACAATCCTTCTACTTGTTTCAATAGCAAGATTGCTATCTCCAGTTTCTTGTCCTTGTAAGAAACTGCCTTCGGTACAGTAATAGAAGGAACAGTACCAGAAGAAACAGTAGACTCACCTTGTTGGACACCTCTTTCAGTCAAACTTTGTAAGGCTTCCTGTAAACTGTCGTTTTGATTTTCAAGGCAAATGATGTTCCTTTCCAACGTTGAACAGGCTTCATCCACCTTTGCCGTAATCATATCATCCATCGATTTCTTTTGAGCCAACAAGGCTCTTTCTACTATTGCTTCTATAGACGAGAGCAAATTGGATGTAGGTTCGATGGGTTGTTTTCTTTTAGGAGGCATATCTAGAATAAAAAAAATAAAAAGAAGAAAGTGGTGAAAACTTTTTATCCCTGGTAAATAATCAAGCTGGTAATTATTAGTGTCATTATCTATTTCCGTCAAAAACAATAAAAGAAAAACATACTCGTCGTCCAATCTTCTTTTCACACTTTAGGACACTTTAAAAAAATGGTTAAACATTACTGCCCTACTTGTCAAGAAAAAGTTAAGTTGAAAGATTTATCAAGCCACCTTGATAATCATAAGGTTCAACAATCATTAAAAATCTATAGTCGAGTATCAAAAAATATTAGCATTAGTCCTTCAATAAATGAAAATACCGCAATGGGCCAACAAATCTTACAAAATTTGCAGAACACTGGCACCACGTTCGAGAATGTGTGTACAGAAACCGAAACGTACGAAGACGAACCTATGGATTGCGATTACGAAAAAGAAAATGTCGCGTTCGTTGAGGAATCAAAACGCCTGCTTGCAGATGAAGAATTCCAAGATCAGAACATGGATCCTGAAAAAGAATATTTGACCCAGGAAAAAAAAGATGTGGGGAAAAAATTAGAAATTTTCAAGAAAACCGTTCAAACACCGATTTGTATTGACACACAAGGCTGCACGAGATCTCTTGATTTGACTGAAAAAGCCAGTTTGAAGATAAGAGATATCATGACAAAGCGGGCAGTATCAAAAACTGCGTCAGAAGAATTAATTGCAGCATTTAATAAGTATATGTCAGATCTTGAGCTCGGTAAATTGATAAATGTTATATCTAAATAATTGTTTATTTATGACGTTTGTTTTAATAGAATTACACCTCCATTTGCTTTAACCCTACAGATGCGATGCCATCTCCAGTAAGAGCATATCCAGAGTAGACTCAGATACGTACGACATGTGTCGTAACGGCTGTTACATGTTTGTGGATGATGAACAAGAGAGAGGACAGACTGAGTGTCCAAATGTTTCTTGTAAAGCTGCGAGATACACCGATAATGCTACAGGTGTACCTGTAGAAACTCATACGCAGTTATCTCTCGCAAAGCAATTCGGAAATTTCCTGACTCAACAAAGAAATGTCAACAACATCAACGCATATAGAGAAGAGAGACAATCTTCGTCTGGATCTTACAAAGATGTATTTGATGGTAGTGCCTGGAAGAACAGCCAAGATATAGAAGGTAATAAAATGATCTCATTGGCTTTACATGCCTGTGGTGATCCACCTACTGTTGTTACTAATCACACCATAAAACAATATTAAAATTAAATCTCACTTCATCACCCCATACATTATTACATCACAACACGAACTATTTTCTTATACATTATATCATATCCAACTACAAGCACTATTTTAGTGCTGTGTAACTTATCCATGAAACTAAATTCATAATCCGATTTCTCTTAACATATATAAATATGCAAACTGATAGTTAAAATAGAACCCTCTGAATCTTTGAATTTACTTTTTACACTGAATAAAACTTATAAGCAATCTCAAAGTATTTTATTGTTTTTATTTATTTATCTCTATCCTCAACTATCACACCAAGCCTGCTACCCTTTTTGTCTCCTGCACCTGCTGTAATAAAAAATGGTCTCACGGACCAGTTGTTAAGAATATCTTAATAAATCTGATGATAAAAAAATTCTCTCTGTCAATAAAGACCGTAAGGGAAAGAAGCCCGATTGTGGCGCTCCATTCAAAAACTTTGAAAATGTCAGTTATGAATGTAAGAAAGCGAACAAAAATGTTTTCAATCCTTACAACTCATTAATCACTCCTCTCATTCTTGATAATAAATAAAAAAATGAATGGAAAAGGAGACACAGGAAGTGACTAGTGTTCGAACTTTTGGAGCTTGCACCGATCTTGCACCAGTTCGAACGAAGCTCGAACCGAGTTTTTGTACTCGAGCTTGCGCCACTTTTTTTGGGTTCGAGCGAGCTTCGATCGATGCTCGCTCGAAGCTCGCTCGGCTAAAATATCGATAGTAGTCACTTTAAAGTTAAGGCCCATGAAAGACTACAGATGGCATTTCCCCTTGATTTTAATTTTTTCTTCCCTTTACCATTTTTTTATTTATGTTTTAATAATTCCAACTAAAATGCTTTCGACTTTTATTTAATTGTACAACCATAAACACATTTAACATAGAAAATGATACAGTGTTTCACACTAAACCCAACTAAGTCAAATGTTTACAGCAACAGCAGTAACATGACGCAGCAGAATCAATTTAAACTTTCATGTTCACAAATCCAACTGTATTATATTTATAGATGCAGTAATAGTTTAATTTAAGTATTCGAATTTGGTGTTAATCTGGTGAAAAAAAGTTGTTTTTTTCTTTTTCCAACTTCTATTTCAATATACAACAATTTTATTATCATAACTTTCTGTAATTAACATCCCTTTGACGTTCACTTTGTGTAATAAAAAGGACGAGCGAGTTCGAGCTATGGTATTTGCAACCGAGCCGAGCTTAAGAAACTTCGAGTGAGCTCGAGCTTCAAAAAAACCCATTCGAGCGAGCTTCGACTGGAACACGATCGAAGCTCGGTCGAGAGTTTCGATCTTCATTCCGAACACTAATTATGATGTTCGATAATGACAATTTTCACGAGCTATTGGCGCTTTTATTTTTAATCATTATCCTACATTTCTTCAATTTTAAATAGTTGATTGCACTCCATTTGAATTTGGTGCTGTACTTGCTCAAGTTTAGGTGTGTTTTGCACATTAAGGCATCAGTGTTTTGTCGTCATGAATGTTTTGCAAATTTCGGAATAAGAGCTGAGTTGCCTGTTATCCGTGCCGTACTAGTTAGCTTTTAGACATATTTTTTTATTCTTTTAAAAGGAATTTTATCACATTTGCCTCCATGCCGCTACTTTTTTTCCCAGTAATGTAATTAACTTCTCTAAGCTCTTGTATTAGTTCGTTTCCCTTACTTATGTAATGCTATCCTGAGAAAAGTGCCAAAGAGACGTTAATTCGAATTGTTTTACACATTAACAGCCACTTTAGTAAGTTGCTATGTTAACATAAGCCATATCAACAGGTACTATCTGTAGAATAAACTGTTAACTTTTTGCTTCGTGTGATTGGATGTTCTAATTGACTATCTAACATTAGGTTTCACCCGATAACCAAAAACAACATTTTTACACGCAGTAGCTGTTATAGAAGCCGTACGTAATACTGTTATTCACTGTGAAACTTTTTATCGGTCCAATTTTTTAAAACGAAATGAAAAAGTTAGACCGGCGGTAACGGTCCAAAAAATTGGAACGATATTATAAAAAATCGGTTGCATTTTTGGACAGATTTTGTAAGAAATCGTTCGCATTTTTGGAACGATACTGATGATTACAAACGATTGTTTTGGCAAATAATTCTATTAGATAATAATACAGTTTACATATTCAGTTCCCGAGTTGCTACCCTTATAAAACCAAAAATTTAGACATCATATATTGAATAAAAAAAAAATATTTTATTGGAAAAAAAAAGAAAAAGAAAAAAAGAGCCACAAATGTTTGAATAAAGAAACGCACAGATTAGTTTTACAGACGAAAGACGAAACTAACCCGCCCATACCAACTTATGGAGCTAGTAGTTACAACTGTTATAGACAAACGCGTCTGGGCGGTACTTACCTATAATAAGAACTAACGTTAATAACGAGTATAAAAGAGATAAAAAACCACATCATACCTTAATAAAGAAACAAGTCGTCCGGGTCTAAATTTACAAGCAGTAAACGTACAGTAAATTTATAGACATTTATTGATACTAATAACAGGAATGAAGGTGACTATAGCGATAAAACGTACCTCGAAAAAAATGTAGTTCATCTACCATGAACGCAAAAACAATATTTAATATTCATAAACTACATCAAACAGAGTTACATAACTGTAAAAGGTTAATTTTATGTTAAATTATCGTATCAATTATTCTACATACTGTTTCATGGTCATTTGTCAAAAAGAAAACAGAAAAAAGGAAAATCAGAAAGAAAAAAAATATTAGATTTATAAATAACGATTTTTTAAACTCAATAGATATTACGTACAGGAACGGTACACACAAACATAGAGTACTCTTCCAGTGCGTTTCATAGGTACTTTCAATGACCCTTTGACCACTCTTTTAATTTCTATAACTTGTCTCTTTACAAGATGAAAAAAATGGGGAAACTAGAAAGAAAATTCTAAGAAGGAGGGTGATTTCAATAAACAGTGTTGCGGCTATTTATTGAGTGGCAAAAATTTGGACATAAAGCCCATAGCTTTTAATACTATAAACATTTTATTTGTAATATATATATGACAAAAAAAATGTCAATACTTTGGCATAGAGACACTAAAAAAGTGAATATGTTTTGATAGTTATTCGTCCGTTAAAACCGGCGACGAAGTGAAAAAAAAGCGTAAGTCGATTGAAAGC